AGGAAACTTACATTTACTCAAGGAACAAATTTTTAAATTCCAAATTTGTTCAATAATCTCATCATGCTTGTTTTGGTTAGGTGCATTTGAGTGGTTGATTGACTTTGTCTTGAAATGCAATGTGCTCTCCCATGCTTATTTGAAAATGATCTTAGGCCATCTTTGAAATGCTTTAAGCCTTAGCTTTTTTCTTGTGAAATTATATCCCTAGTGCCATGTTTGAGCCTTATTTAAAATTCGTTTCTATGTCACAAATTTGACAAAGCCAATGCAAAATGATATAAATCTACCTCACCTTGGTTGTTCCTAGAGCTGAGTATGAATGATCATAAAAGAGAAGGAAATATGGCGGAAACTCAACAAAAGGGATGAATGAAGTTGAATTCAAAGAGTTGAACGAAAAAAAAAATTTCAAGAAAAGGAGAAAAAGGGGTGAAAAGAAGAAAAGAGGAACAAAACAAAAAGGAAAATGTTAAGGAAATGAANAAAAAATTTTAAAATCAAAAAAATCAATGGGCGAAAGCTCATATCCAAATTGAAGCAGTATTGACATGTGCCATTTTTTTTTAAATTTTCATGTACATAATAGTTAGACTTATTTTATTATTGTATNCTGAAAATCCCATAGAAAGGGATATTTTTTTGAAATAAATGTCATGCACTCGGAACAACCCTCTTTGTTATCCTATATCCTTTGTTCATTTACCTAGATATCACCCCAAGGCCTCATTACAACCTATGAAAGTCCTAAATGATCTAGAGAAGCATGGGGGATGCATATTTTTTTAAAAGAAAAAGAGAAGTTGATTTTGCTATCTAATGCCCTAGCATTCCTTTCATGAGATTATGCCAAGGTTGTTTCATTTTTATGCATACTTCATTTTTGGATTATATGTGAGCATACTTCAGTTTGTGCATAATATTCCATCTCACATATACACATGGAGAGCATGCCAAGATAATCATAGCGTGATTCATTGTTGAGAGAAACCCTTGGTGAGTTTTTGCATCAAAGTTGAATTTGGATAGCTAAGTGAATGTGGATTCCGTTGAGTAAATGCTTAAATTACATATTCATTTCACACACACACGAGTTTTAAAAGGAAATGCGTATGTAGATACTCTAGAATAGTATTTAAGGCTATGATGTGTTTCATGTGTGATTAGTTCAGGTGTGTTGAACAAAGTCATTGTTGACATCCCAGTGCTAGTTAAGATAAAGGAATATGCTTTAAATATTGGATACTAAGAAAAGAAGTTTGTAGGTACCTTCACTGAAAACCTTCATGAGACAAAACTCGTCCACTAGGGATCACCTAGGGGTTTAAAGGCTTGTTGTATGTGTTAAATGCAATTGTGGAATTAGTTTAGGTTTATCTTTGTTTGCTTAATTTTTACATTTTGTTTGCTAGGGACTAGCAAAGCTTAAGTTGGGGGGTGTGATGAGCACATAATATTGCATATTTGAAGGCCTCATTACATGCATTTTAACTCAACTTTTGCATCTAAGTACTTAGAGTTAGCCGAAATTATGAATAATGTTGAATTTTCGATGTTGCAGGTAATTATAGTGTAAATCATGTACTTTAGAACCTTGCAACCTAGTATGGATGTGTGGTGAAGGCATAAACACATTAAATAAGGATTGGGAGGCTTGGAAGGTGAAGAAACCAAGAGAAATTGATTTTGGAAGGTTTAGCCCACTGGTTTCCTAAGGTTTTGACACAGTACCTTTGTTTGTCCCATTTTGGACCATGATCCACTTCGAAGCTGAAAAAGTTCAAAACATGAAAGTTGTAGATCTGGATGTCTTATGTAGTGTGTCAGAATTGTAGCTTATTCCAACGGTTGGATAAAATGTTATGTTGATTATACAAAAACTGGTCCGGAGTAGGCAACCCTACCGGAAAGACCTACCGGTAGATCGCTAAAAACCTATCGGTAGGTTTTGCCCAGAATGCCCTGAATGTCTGCAACTCATGCTCCACTTGTTTGGGGGTCCCACCTATGATTCTACCACTTGCTCCCTAACATATTCTACATATATACATGCTTCTTACACCCCAAAGTCAACCTTGGAAGATTTGGGATGGGAGAGGAGAGAGAAAGAGATGGGCATTGTGGATTGAAAGGATGGCTTGTCCTTGCTTGTGTAAGTGTCCAGCCCTTTCCCATGCTTGGATGTCAGCTCACACACCTAGAGGACCCCTATGGACGAAAATGAAGGCTCACACTCTATATATTTCAGCATTCACAAGCCATTGAAGAGTGGCTACCTAAGCTTAGGAGTAGTGAAGAAGATGATGAATAGTAGATAGAAAGTTTATGTTTTTGCATTTTCTTCCATCCCTTCACTTGTAGTTTATTGTAAGACTCTTGTAAGCTTCATTATTTACTTTTAATGTCATTTATTTCAAGTGCTTGCAAGTTTAATCACATGTTCTAGATTCCACCATTGTTGCTTTCAAGTTTTACATTTCAAGCTTTTAGTGGGTATTAAATGCACTTAATTTTATAGCTTCACTTCTCTTCATTTCAATACAAGTTTAACTCCCATTTCAAAACCTTGTCTCTTTACATTATGCATGTTTTCCCCTTTAACATGAATAGCTAGATTTTTAGTTGGCTAATCCAAGGAGATTTCCTCTTTGGTGTGCTATCTCAACTCATTTTCTTTCCTCTTCTCGGTGTACGATGGTTCGATTTGACTGGGTTGAGGGTGGATGAGATTGTGAGTCTTTGATATTCCGTAGGCCTAGTCACGCTTTATGCTTGGATCCTCACCATTTCGTCCCTAACTTCCCACGAATCAATCGTTTATCTATGCACCATTGGAGGAAGATTTTGAGTTGAGTTGGGATTTCCATTGGAGTGACCTCTTTGGATTAGCCAATACTTGTTTTCTTGCATTTTCATTCATAAACTTCACTCACCAAAACACAAACAAAAGATTTTTCATTTTTTCCCTTTTGCAACAAAATCACCTTCTCAACACTTGAACTTTCCTTCCCTGAGGAGACGACCTTGGAATACTTTTCCAAGTAAAACAACGACACACAAAAGACTCCTTGTGCTTGGAGAGGACTTTTGTACACACACACACATTTTTGTGCATTTACACATCACATTACCATCATTTTATTTTACCCCATCTCTTTGCCCTCTCTTTTGACATCACCCATAGGAGAGTGACATTCTCCTTCATCCATAAACTATACATGCTAAAAGGTGATGGTTAGAGGTTAGGAAACTACAAAGAATTTTGTCAAGCACTGATGTGTGTGCACAAATGAGAGTAAAAAGCATTTGGTTTGTGAAAAATTTTAAAAATAGAATTCTGATGTATAGAAATCAATAGAAAACAATTGGTCAATCCTCAAGAATTATCTTATCGTAATCAAACTCATCGATCTTCATTTACGACTCATTTGAACTCATAATCAAATTCATTCAGATGAGAAATATTCAACAAAATCCAATGTAGAAGATGTGTAGCTTTGAAGATAGGCATTAGAATCTCTACTGTAAATACTTAGATGTCAATATATGTTCTAAGCATTAATGGTGTTGGAGGTGCATCGATGATTAATAAAAATGTATAAATAAACATTTGTACCATTCAAAAATCATACTACGTTGTAAGAATATGCTAGAGGACCAATAAGGCTCAATTATAAACAAGAATCATCCCTCAGATTGCGGAAAAACTTAGTCGGAAATAAAACTTTTAAATTCAAAATCGACAATAAACAACATAGCACACATATGTAAAAGATTAATTAGATTAAAGGAAATGCTTACGCTATGATTGCTTCTCAATTGCTACGTTCAAATACAAAGATAACAAAGCTTTGAAATGGGACATAAAAGTTGTCTTCTTCGAAACTCGATGAAGCTTTGAAAATAGACGTTTACAACACAACTTCTTATCCAAGCAAAAGAACTATGAAAAATTCTTCCAAAAATGATCTCTCTCCTCAAATAAAGAATCACAAGTATTTATATCAAAGGTCTTCTCCATCCATTGGCTAGAAAGAGTGGCATGGGTGGTGTGTGTAATCCTCCACCATTATCAACCAATGGGTATCTTTCTTGAAGTGTGGGAGGTGTTTTCTGCCAATTGGAAGTAGGCTCACGGGGATTGATAACCACCCCCTTGGGTGTTGGAAAGAGACAAGTCGTCCACCATCTATTTATTGATAATGCATATAGGAAAGAGACTAGCCGTCCACAATCTATTGATTGAGAATGCGGGAAAGTTTCTATTGTAGCTGACGTAAGATCAACCAGTTGAAAGTGATGATGAACCGGTTGATTGCCTTCTTCAACTGGTTGAAAAGATTTGATGAACAAGTTGAATAACTCCAAGTATCGTGTTCTTGTCTTGGCTTTGTCTGATCAACCGATTGAAATACCTCTAGTACTTTGCATAATCCTTCTCTTCTCTGATCAACCGATTGATAGTAGTTGTTCAACTAGTTGAAGTAATCTCAACATCTTCAATTCTTTTGATCAACCATTTGAAGTTGATTGTTCAACAGATTGAACTACTCTTATCCTTAATTCTTGCTGTAGTCTTTCCTTGATGAATCTCATTGCTTCCTTAATTATTTCCACGACATTCCCACCACTCCTTATCACCTTCTCTCACACCTACAATTATGTGCCCAAAGTGAATGGTTTAATTAATAAAATGTACAATATTAAGTGCTAAACATACCCCCTAACTTGAACTTTGCTAGTCCCTAGCAATTCATAAAATCATACACAAGTGAAATTAATCACACAACAAATAATCACACAACCAACTAAACATAACAATAAATTAAAAGGAGACAAAATAACCAAAGGATGTATGATATATATGCCAATTCTAGTGGGTACAAAAATTCAAAATACAATAACCTTAGGACAATAACTAAAATTGCAAAACCCAGCAAGACTATTCCCTAGAAACAACAAAAACTAGACACTCCTAACAAAAACTAATTAGACCCTTCCTACTCAGACTCAACCTCTGACTCGTACTCTCCCTCCTCTTTAGACTCACTACTGTATATCTCATGCACATCTCCTCTCAGCTTAGTCACAAAGGCATAAGGTGGTGTAGTCATAGATGAAGGTGGTACTAAACTACTAGGCTGAGAAATAAGTGGTGGCGGAGGAACATCTTGATAAGTCAAGTTGGGCAGCAGAGCTTCAAACATCATCTTTTGAACCACAGCTAAAAACTCTAACTCTTTCACTATCTGTGATTGTGTCTCCAGAATATCCATTTGCCCACCCTCCATACCCTCCACTCTATTCTCCTGCCTATCAATCCTCTAAGGTAGGTGGCTCTTGAAGTGGGTGAAATAGTCATAGATGAATGATTTGCAGGTGCAAAGGTGGACGTCGATCTATCTGTACCAGCTCGAGACATAGTATCACTCTTTCTCTCTGACCAACTACTTATAGGCCCCTTCTCTAGAGGAGTCAAATGATCCGCATATGTCTTCTTTACTCCGGATTGAATATAAAGCTGTGTAATCATCTTGCCGAATGGTGTATTCCCCCTATGCTTACTCTTCAAAATATATTCTCTGATTATGCCCCACATAAACAATGCAATATCTATCTTTGATCTCTTTGTGACCTCATACAATAAAATGATCTTACTAATAGGCAACCTCTTATTGGACCCTTTAGGAAAAAAATTATAATGCAGAATTTTACTCAAAGTCCGATAATTGGCAGTCAACTTACCCACACTGAACTACCCACCAAATTGATTTGGATGCTTGTACATCAATGTCACATACTCAGCTAGCTTTTTTGCAATGAACTTAGGATATGGGTAGTTAACCTCATCTATTTGTGGCTTCTAATATCCCAAATACTCAGCTATTGTATCTAGTTTGACTTGTATAATCTAGCCTCTAATTGTCATCCTCAAGATCTTAAGGTCCAAATCTAACTCCCTCTAATTGTTATAAAACTCTCAACACAATGTCAGAATATAACCAGTAACCTTTTGAAAGAAAAATTCTAAACCCAACTGCAAAATCCTACGAACTGGCATAATCTTCACTAAGCTTCTATAATCCACCATCCATTCACAGGTAGTAGTCTTACCTGCTATAATGGAGTAATACGAATCCCTCTGCCTTTTTCTAGACTTGGGCTCTGGAGGCTCCTTGGGGTCTTGCTCACTCATAATGGCCTTTCCCTTGCCTTTTTTCCTTCCTAGTTGCTCTAGGACTAGAAATTGAAGATGACACTCCACAGGTCCTGGCCATGCCTACCAAAACCATATCAATCATCATAGAAAACGTAATACACATCCAAAACCAAGAAAACAACCACTTAGAGACACCCCCACATGAAGAACTCAAAGATTTACTCAAAGCCCTTCATGAAGCCTAGTGTTTAGAAGCTTAGAAATTTTTTATGGAGATGAGAGAGAGAAGATAGATGGATGGTCTAAGGTTCTTGGGGAGAGTTTGAGAGAGTGGGTGAGTGTTTTGAAGTGTAAGAAAAACCGTTGGTCTCCCCCCTTATTCAACCGGTTCAATCCAACTTTCCCTTTGATCAATCGATTGAAGATTGATAATCAACTGGTTGGTTCTACTTTGCTACATGTTCTCTTTTTCTCTTTTGTTTTTTTTTTTCTGTATTTATTTGATCCTAAGGCTTTCCAACACCTATTTATATGATTAAGGCACACCATTACCCAATTATACACACTACTTGATAATTGAATACACAAAATATGTATTACTTACACATTTTTTAGAATTTAAGATGCATGTCAATAAAGGATACTAAGTGAAACCTAAAGCCACTTTTGTAAGGTACACGATTGCATTTGGCAAATGCAACAAATCTTTGAACCCCTAGGTCACTCCTAGTGGACGAGTTGTGTCTCATGAAAGATTTCAGTGAAGACATCTACAAATTTCCCTTTATTTCACATCCTGAACTTAGAACATATTATAGTCTTCTAAATAGCAATGCGATACACTAACCATTCTTCCATCCTCTTTAAGACATTTACTCACCACTACATCGTAGGTTTAAATGCTATGCAAAAGTATTCATGCACATAATTCCTTTAGAGACTCGTGTGTGCACGAAATGATAATGCAATTTAAGAAATTTATCAAATAAAATGCACATCTATATTAGACATCCAAAATTAGCTTTGATGAAAATCTCACCAAGGATTTTCTCTCAAAACATACAATACTCTGATTATACTGATATTTCACTCATTGTGTATATGTGAGACAAATTCTTGAAATTCAAAGCAAAGCATAGCTCACTTATAATCTAGAAATAAATTACAATTATGCAAACGAAACAACCTTGACATAATCTCATAGAAGGAATATTAGGCAAATGAAAGCAATCTAGTTAACCTATCTCTTACTTGATTTAGAACATACACTCATCATACTTTTTGAGATAAAAAAGAACTTTAACTAGTTGTAACATAGCCTCGGGTAAAAATTAAGCTAAGGAAACAAAGGGATATATGAATTCAAAACAGAATTATCCCGAGAATATGACTTTATTAACCACATTTCCTCTTTTGAAATCATTTACATTCTATTTTCATTTCTCTTTCTTTCCTTCTCTTTTTTATTTTTTATTTATTTTCACCTCCTTTCTTTCTTGTTTTATTTTCTTTATTTTCCAAGAATGTCAACAATATGCTCAAATATTTGTCATCCCTTTTTTTCCATTCTTCTGTGCTTTTCTTTTGTTACCAACCACAATCCCCTTTTTCACAATATAACACTATCCATTGTAGGAAAACCAAGGTACGATAAATATAAATTATGCATAGTTTGGTTAAACACATGGCTAAAGAAATGAAATTTATGTTCAAGCTCAAACGCGACTTTTAGGGATTATGTTAAGAAAGAATAGGCTAAGGCTCAAATTAATTCACAAATGACCTAAGATCATTTCTCAGAAATACATGGCAACATAATCCTTTGCATTGAGATAAAATCAACTAACTACCCCATTTATACTAACCAAAACAAAAAATAATGAGATTATTGAAAGATATTGAATTTAAAAGAATATTCTTTTGATTAAATGTAATTCAACCCTCCAATAAAGAATGTCACAAAAGCTCACAAGGGTAATACATTCATCTTTGCTATGTATGTCTAGCATTTTAAGATGTGAATTTCATTCAATAAATTGCAAAAATTAGCATTCTAATGGTGCACATAGGGTTTAGTTTCACATGAAAACATATCCATGATACTTAATGTGTTAGTTTTTTCAAAAAAAATTAAAATTTTTTTTATATCATTTTTCACAAAAAACATGGTGGTGTACATAACAATGGTGCATCCTTACCCCCCAACTTAAATCATGCATTGTCCTTGTATAGAGAAAAACCACAAGTTGTAAAGTGACACAAGTTATGCAAAAAGAATTAAGTACAATAAAATAAGTTGTACGTCAATAAAATAAAAAACTACTAACTATGCACTACTATCCTCAAAAGTGATCATTCAGTATAAATAACTTGATACACAGGATCAACCAAATCATCCACAACCTCCTTAGATGCAAAACCTTCTAAGAATGGCTTAAGTCACTGCCCATTTACTTTAAAAGTTTGACCATTTTTAGAATTTTGAATTTCCATAGCCCCATTAAAATAGACAACACAAACTGTATAGGGGCTAGTCCATCGAGAACGTAACTTACCTAGAAAGATGTGATGACGAGAATTGTATAACAATACCTTTTGACCTGGCTCAAAGGTTTTTCTTACTATTGATTTATCATGAAAAATTTAAACCTTTTATTTGTAAATCCTTGTACTATTATATGCATCCCTACATATTTCCTCCAATTCATTCATTTGCAATTTCCTAAGCTCGCTGGCTGGACCCAAACTGTAATTCAATGACTTTATGGCCCAATATGGTTGATGTTCAATTTCTCCTGGAAAATGATAGGCCTTTCCATAGATTAGCCTATAGGGAGACATACCCAAGTGAGGTTTGTCTTCGGTATGGTAGGCCCATAAAACATTGGTTAATCAAATTGACTAATCCTTATAGTTAGGGTTCATCATTTTTTCCAATATATGCTTCATTTTCCTATTATCCAATTCAGCTTGACTGTTTGTTTGTGTCTCGAATAGTCTATTACAGAAATGTGAACCACCATCACTTATAATCACCTTAGACATACCAAACCTAGACAAAATATTTTTCTTAAGAAATTCGATAAAAAATTTATGGTTCTTTGTCCTAGTTGGTATTGCCTCCAACCATTTAGACACATAATCAACTGCCAGTAAGATATAAAGATTACCAAAAGATAACGAAAAAGATCCCATGAAATTGATACCCCAACAATCAAAGATCTCAATCACCAGAATGGGAGTAAGGGGCATCATATTCCTTCAAGTCACTCTACCCAAGCTTTGACATCTGTTAGAGCTCTTATAGAATTGAAAACAATCTTTGAACATGCAAGATCAATAGAAACTGCACTACAAGATCTTTGTAGTAGTCTTCTTTGAGGAAAGTGGCCTCCACATGCATCCAAATGGCAAAAAGATATGACGTCATGTTGCTCACCATCAGGTACGCATCTTCTCATAACTTGGTCAGCACAATACTTAAACAAATATTGGTTAGCACAATACTTAAACAAATATGGGTCATCAAAGAAACATTTCTTCACTTCTACAAATAATTTCTTTTTATCTTTTAAACTCCAATAAGATGGTATTTGTCCTATAACAAGAAAATTAACAATATTAGCATACCAAAAACAAGATGTAGTAACAAAAAATAAATACTCATCAAGAAAAGTATCATGAATGGGTAAATTTTCTTTTCTGTCTTGAAACACAATCCGAGATACATGGTCCACTATCACATTCTCAACTCCTTTCTTATCTTTACTGATTAGGTGAAATTTTTGTAGGAGGACGATCCACCTAATGAGTCTCCATTTTGCATCTTGCTTAACAACAAATACTTTAAAATAGAATGGTCAATATAGACAATAGTAGGTGAACCAATGATATAAGATCTAAATTTATCAAGTGCAAAAAATAACTCGCAATTCCTTTTCTATTGTAGTGTAGTTTATTTGTGCCTCATTTAGGGTTTTGCTAGCATAGTAAATAACATGCGATTTCTTGTTTTGCCTTTGGTCTAATACAACTCCCATTGCATAGTCACTTGCATCACACATAAGTTCAAGTGGGAGGTCTCAATTACGTGGTTGCATGATTGGAGGTGAAATTAACATATTTTTTTAATTTTTTCAAAGGTAGCCTCAAAATCAGTTGACCACACAAATTGAGCATCTTTTGCCAGAAGATTACATAAAGGGGAGATATGGCACTGAAACCCTTTATGAATCATATATAGAATCCTGCATGGCCAAGAAATGAATGCACATCATTTACCATTTTTAGGGTAGGTAGATTGGAAATTAACTCAACATTTGTCTTGTTGATCTCTATCCCCTTGTTCAGAAACAATATGATCTAAAACAATTTCTTTAGTTACCATAAAATGTTTTGCCCATTAAGTACCATACTCTTCAGTTCGCACCTCACTAATACCTTTTTTCCAAAAGTTTCAAACACTCTTCAAATGAATCTCCAAATACCAAAAAATCATCCATAAATACCTCCACAATATTCTCAACCATATCACTAAAACTTCTCATCATATACCTTTGGAATGTTCCTGGGGCATTGCACAACCCAAATGGCATACGTCTATAAGCAAATGTTCCAAAGGGACAGGTGAAATTGGCTTTCTCTTGATCTTCCAAAGCAATTTCAATTTGATTATAGCCTGAATATCTATCTAGGAAGAAATAAAAAAAGTGCCTTGCCACCCTTTCCAAAACTTGATCAATGAAGGGCAATGTGAAATAATCATTTCGGGTGTAGGAATTGAGCTTTCTATAATCAATGCACACTCTCCACCAAGTCACCACCTAAGTTGGAATTGGCTCCTTGTTCTCATTGATTATAACAATAAACCCCAACTTCTTAGGCACCACCTAATCGAACTCACCCACTTGTTGTCTACAATAGGGTAAATGAATCCCACATCAAGAAGCTTTAAAATCTTAGCCCGAACCACGTCCTTCATTATGGGATTCAATCTTCTCTATAATTGTTAGGACAGTTTAGCATCATCTTCCATA